CCGAGCTAAAATATCCAAGTTCTTCTGTTGTGTTTAGTCTAATTTTGCTATGTCCATGAATAAAAAAGTAGGCAAAGTCAATGACTTTTGAATGCAAGAGGTCAACAGGTGAACAAACAAATCACATGCAACAAAAATTAATTGTGCTAAATTCAAAATTGCCCCTTTCTTCAAAACAAACCTGCACACATTAACTCGCCATCCTAAAAGCACAATCTCAGACCAAATGAAAAAAGCTCAGTGATGTTAGTCAGTACTTACCAACCTACTGTGTGTCATTAGGAGTCTGGCATTTATTTTCATGATCTAAATTTAGCTGTCTTACATGAATTCGTAGTCATCAATCTTACAGTGTTTTAATGACATGAGAAATGTAGGAGATTGAAAATACATTTTTATCAACATCTGCATTTAAAATTAATCCATTACAAATGCCTTGGCTCACATTATTTTATTGTAGTACACAAATACTTTTTGAACTCTGAGCTCATAGATTAGAACTTTACTCAGCTCACATGGAAAGGCTGAATGACAGCATAAGACCACAAGCATCCATGGGCTGGTGACATATTTCTGTTGGTGCCAAAAAAAATAATTATATGTCCAGTTTTAATTTAGATACATAGCAAGGAGCTGAAGGCTCCCACGTCATGAGCTAATCTGAACTGGTCCAGCTCCAAGGAAAACATCCCAGGAACTAAACTCAAAGCAGCTGCATCTAAACACTCACACAGGAAGAAGAATAACCAGACCTGAAGCACTCTGTCGGCTGGACATTACCTGGGACTTTGCTGGCCAAAGAAAATAGCCTGAAATTGGGTATAGTGCCACAGAGGTAGAGATGTGCCACTGGTATAACTGAGACAGGGTCTGGAGGCTAGGCAGGGTGCCCTGAGGAAGAGAAGAAGCAGGAGGACTACCACTCACATGTCAGCTGCACCAAGACTCATCTCTTTCCTCTCCCTCTCACCCCACCATCCTGATGGGGCTCATTGTACAGTTGGCCCTCTTGCACCTACTTTCCTCAAATATATGCTACAAACATAATAAATGAAACAGAGATGAAAAAAAAGGAAATTCTGAAACTGAAACTAGAGAAATCTAGGAACAAGGATATTCTCTGAAAATTAACTTCTGCTCATGCAGACAAGCTGTGGCATGCTCAGACCTCCTCAAAGTATTGCATCATAATAATTTGTTTATTTGTTTTCAAGAATAATAAGATTTAAGTCATGATCCACTTTTAAAATTCATTGTAAAATGAGGATTTAATTAGTTTTCTTAATCAAAAAGAAACAGAATGAAAGCAAATGTTAAATATCTCAAGAAAAGACAGTTGGTGACTGGCATATACAATCTCAGACTGCCTCTGCACAATCACTGTGTCTAATACTGGGTAGACAATGAAAAACTTTAGTTACTGATTTAAGAGAGATTAGGGATTGCATTTGGGTAAATCAATACTCCCCTTTTATAATGAAGGTTTAAAGAAACCATTGTACAGGAACAGGCAAAAATCCTGACATGTAATCCCATAAACCATACAATATTTCTGACAAGCCTCCAGCAGTCATGGTTTGACAGCTGGTTTCTATGTTTTAAAGCAGTCTTCTAGGGATGGAAGTTGGATAACACTGCTACATATCATTACTGCACTCTTTTCTCCTTGGCTCCAGTGACCTGACATTCGCAGCAGAGACATCACTCCTGCTGCTTGCTTGCAGTCTATGAGACCTGCTGGCCTGAGCCAGGAAGCTCCTGGGACTCTCGCTGGGGTGCCATTACTCCATCTTGGTTCCCAGTGCATGGCCAAAAGTGAATGCCACAGAAGCAGCCATTGAACAGTAAAATAAAAAAAACAAACAGAAAGTTGCATTTAAGAGAGTGAGTGGAAAACGACATAATAGCATTTAAGGACTTCCTTCTCCTCCTCTTTGCATAACAGAGACACATAAAAGGCCATATGAAGAGTTAAATTATCTCTTAAATAATGGTTTTGTTTAGAGACTGGATCACTCCACCATTAAAGCCAACTCTCATTAAGGGCTATTTTCCAGGGGCAACTGGCACCTCCTGGCAGATTTTAAAAGACTGGAACTTTGGACATGTCTACCAAAACATATCCAGCAATTGTGTTCAGTTTTTAATTCTTTTGATCTGCCAGCCCTTACAAGCTAGTAAGGACTGTAATTATGAGCAAGGCAGATTTAACTGAGGAAATAATAATAACACAGTAATTAAACTCTTAGATGGCATTTTTTATCTTCAGCGGTCCAGCCTTTTCCAATGGAGGTAAAGAACACAAAGCCAGAGGACATGATTCAGCCTTGCAGCAGGACCTCCTGCTGTCACACACATCAAATCCTATTCATAGCTGTACCCAGCTCTAGGTTTGAAGTAATTTATTTTCCTACCATTACTCCTGCTGAGATGCTCTTTCAGGACCTCACTGCTGCAGTGACTAGAGGCATCTAAATTTTGGTTATACATTTCTTATTCCAGTCTTATTATGCAGCCTCTTTCATTAGTGGAAATAATTACATGCCCTTACTTTTTACTCTCCCTTTGGATGAATTTATGGGCAGTTATCATGGCCTGTCATTGCCTTTCCAGGCAGAAGATAAGCTCGAATTGTTTATTCTCACAAGTTCTCCATTCCCCCACACTCTTCCGCCCATGTTTATGTTCTCCTATGCAATCTATATTTCCTAAATGGCACTACTCAATATGGTGGTAGTAATAATCATCATCAATGAGACAGTAGTAATCATCGTCATCTTATATGTATCATCAATATCTTATATGTTCTTTCCTATTAAAAAGCAATCAATCACAGAATTCTGCCACTCTTAGGTGGAGAAGTGAATCTCAGTTCTTTCTCTACCACGCTGCTTTCTGCATTTTACTGGCTTAGATTCATCTGAAAAACTACCTATCAACTGCGATCAAAGGCAGGGCACTTGTTTCTTCCCTGAGCTGATAGGTCTTGTCTACTCACAAGAAGGGGACCTGCAAGAAAGCTAGAGAGGGACAGGACAAGGGAGAATGGCTTTAAACAGAAAGAGTGTAGAGTTAGATTAGGTAGTAGGAAGAAATTTGTCACTGTGAGCGTTGTGAGGCACTGTAATAGGTTGCACAGAGAAACTGTGGGTGCCCCAGCCCTGAAAGTGTTCAAAGCCAGGTTGGATGGGGCTTTGAGTAATCTCCTAGTGGAAAGTGTCCCTGCCCATGGCAGGAGGATTGGAATTAGATGATCTTTGAGGTCCCTTCCAACCTGAATCATTCTACAATTTATTGATAAGAAGGAGGACCAAGTTTCTAGCATTCACAGGCTAGCACAGTAATGATGATGAGACCAAAGAAACCACTGTGTCTTGCCCACACCCTCCTCTGGAGTGTTCTCAAACCAGTTGAAAGATCGGCCATGGTAAGGCCCAGTCGAAGCAAAAAGCGTGGTAGTAACATACTGAGGGTACATGTAATCACACCCTTTAATTAATTTGTTCTGCAATGTCTCCAACTTGAAAGCCACAAGTCACTTGAGAGTCTTTTTTGCAAGTAAACAAACAATATCAACTACTTCCAGTCATAGCCTGGCCTCTTAGCACTTACGACGAAGGACATTTGGGAACCAAAGCAAGCAAACATTATGATTCATTTATCCCACAGCTTAGCAGATGGATAAACGAAACCTTTATAACCAAGGCAGAACAGGGCGTCTACAGCTTTCAATGAATAGCACCATTTAAGCCTCGTGAGAGAGAAACACTGGCAATGCTTCATTATCCACAAAGGAATCAAGATGTGCATTTCTATGAAATTCACGTACATGTAAGTAAAGTTCCTGGGGCACAACTCAAAAGATGACAAACTAGAAAAACGGTGAGAAAGAGAGGACCTTCACTTATTATCAGGACTGAAATACTGACCTTTTCAACATGTTACAAAGGAGTTTGCTGTTTACACGTGAAGTCATTGTCAGGTTCTGGGACAATTTAGACTGGGGCAAAAACTTAAAATGGATAGAAGGAACACACAACTATAAAAGCCAAACTTCACTTTGCAGTTAAAGATTCAGAAATTGATGAATTTCCCAAGCTCTAACAAGTGAGCTTGGTTCTACATAATTTTTCAGAAGTTTCCTCATTATTATTATTATTATTATTATTATTATTATTATTATTAGTGCCTTGCTGAAGAATTTCAGGAAGATAATATGCTCTTCTTGAAAACTGACTGGAGTTATATTTCAGTTGCTTTATTAAGCTTTTACATTGTGTATACTAAGTATAGACTGGTAGAGACTGTAGTTTCCAGTGCAATGAACACACTAAAGCAGTATATACACATATATGTATATAAGTGGTTTTCTTATCAATGACATGAGTTTGTCCACTGGAAGCAAGCTAGTTTTATGATATTTCCTTTCCTAGATAACTGTTTTTGCCATTTTTCTGCAGGCACACACTGTCTGCCATGGGAGCTGAGAGCTGTGGAAAGGGTGACAGGCCCCAGCGCACCTGCAGTCACTCAGCAGACTTCCTCCTGGTCCCAACAGGGATCTCTGTACTTCAGCCATGCACACACAGGACAGCTCTTTCTTTTCTTCCTGTAATAGCTGTGGCACTTCGTGACCACACAATCTGTGAGTCACAAATGTTTTTCCAAGGCACCAACTAGATATTTTCAGCCTCCCTCTTATGCTGGATTCCACAATATATACCTTTGGGCCTGCCACCCAACCTCTTACAGTATTTTCATTTAGTGTAAACCTGTGCTTGTTCTGCACAGAGCTGCCAGCATTAAAGTAATTTCCCAAGAAAGCCCAGCAGCTTTGACTACATCACAGGGTGTCTCTGAGTTTTAGACTGATTATTTTTGTAACCTTTCTGATAACCCAAAATTCAGTGATCCACAATCAGTCATTCCTGTATCCATGAATCCATGCAGAATAGATTCATCTCACTTTGTCTTAAACTGGTGGAAAAAAGACAGACACCTTTGAGATGCAACTCATCCCATTTATTTTAGAGAGAAGTCTTTCTCCACTGAGTGGAGAGGAAACATCAGTGGCTATCTTGGATTACCGGTATTCCTTTAGGCTTTGTGAAGGCTGGATGAGCGGTAGGCCACCCTAGGCTATCCTTTACAGCTGCAAGGTTATGGATAGAGAGTTCTCAACTCCAAAACATAACAATTATGTTCTACTTTTTTTTGCCCTGCTGGACCTGTTGCTTTACAGACTTGAGGCAAAATAAACATAAACACTTTAATTAGCTGTTCATACCTAAAACACTATTCCTGGCAATTCCAAAACACTCATCCTTCTGTATGCATGCCTCCCCAGCTACTAGAATTAAAAATGTAACTTTCTTGTCTTGATCGGTGAAGATCAACTGTATGTGCAGGTCAGCCCTTGTTTTCACTCACTCCCACATTTATTTAAGAGTTTTGTTTGGGAACCAGCAGATGAAATTATTTGGTGCTCTTCACATTATATTTAGGTTTGGTTTGAGTGCTACTCTGGTCAAAAATTAGTTATGCTGCCTATTTAGATGGATAAATAACATCAAGACCACATACACTGAAAACTAGAAAATAGTTGTTAACTCAATTCGTGTTTCCTGAAAACAACTTTTGCACAAAAAGCTTCTGTCCTGGATGCTAATTCATGCCAAGACCATAGTACATCAGTCTTTTCCCCTCTGTAGGTGTGCCTCTGAAGTTGTTGCAGATAGATTAGCTCTCTGGAAAATGCTATAAACCAACACAGTCCCAGGAACAAGGTGACCTTGTCCTCATTACATCCATTATTTTTCCAAAGAGAAACATTGTGGTGCAGAGCCCTGAATCTTTGATATGATGTTTCCTAATACTGTACTTCTTTTCAGGTTAGGAAAAGAGCTGTCATCCTCAAAGAGACATCTCATATGTCACATGTCTTCCCACTCAACTCACACACCAGCATTTTGGTTTGGGTTTATTTGTTTACCATTTTTCCACATAACATTTTCAAAACTTAAATAAACTATGTTGCCCTTGTGTATAATGATACAGATCAGTGTAAAATATTTGCATTATGTAGGTCACCTGTTCAAATCTATCTGTAAAATATTTACATTTTGTAGTACCTGAAGACATTTATTTATGAGGAAAGCCTTCAGAATATTATACAGACGGAGTTATCTCTGAGGGAGGGATATTCTGAGACAGTCTATTTAAGCAGAGTGTAATCCAAATAGTGAACAAAATTAGTTTTTCTGTGGAGAAGTTCATAGATATACAGTTGCTGTGACAACTGCATTTGGCTCTGAAAAGGGAAAACAAATGGCTCTTTGTAGATTCAAGTAAAATAAATTTAGTGTGGTTGCATAGAAAAATAGTTTTTTCCCTCTAGTGTCAAATAGCCCTTCTGTAGCAAGCTTCCTTAGCTTCTCGTTTTAGACTTCAGGGGTTTCTTATCCCTTTTTTGAAAAAACAGTATATCTATTGGAGTTACAAAGGGTGAGAGCACCTCCCTTTCCCTACCCTTCCCATATCCAGAGCATGACTTTGTGTTCCAAAATTCTACAGATTGCACCCTAGTTGCAAAATAATAGAACCAGATTTCCTGCATCTAAGTAGCATAAAAATGCAAACTTATATTCTTAACTTCATCAGATCATAGAAGACTGAGAAAAGTGGGAAAGAGCTGTTATTATTGGCCTGTTGGGAATGCAGTATATCAGATCTGAAATGCTTGCTGTGTCTGATGTGAGAGATAGCCAGGGTGATTTTTTGTTCTGTTGACAGTTGGAGAACCAAGTAGATTTTACACCTTTGGTATTGTATATCCTTTATCAGCTCTCCGCTTCCACCACTTGTGCATGCACATCCCTCCCACGATCAAACAGGCCAGTGCAACAGGAATCATTGCAATGTGCCAGGACAGACCAACATCTGGAAAAGTAAACAAATTAGGTGTTAGAAAAACAGAAAAAAAACAATGAACTCCCAGGAACATAGTTCTCTACACTCATGTTGGAAGAGGAGAAATTACAATAAAAAGGATGTCTGCAAGTTAACCTTCCAGCGGGGCTTATCACCTTTGAAAGGAAGAGATCCATTGATTGGGCACTCTGGAAAATGTGTTCATGAAGATAGAAGGAAGGATTGGAAAACCACAGAGAGTGAGAATTTAAAGTTCCATCTTTTGCATACACCCAATTTTCTGAACCCCTGATCAGAGCAGCTGTGTGCTTTCTATCTTGGTTTGTTAAAAGCACAGACATTCCAAGCAGGAAATCCATGCACTGTATGGGGCAGGAATACTTAACAATTAGTCCACCCTCAAGTTATGTTAATAATTTTTTCCTACAGAACAGCTTATAAATTAGTAACAATCAACCCAAGACTCAGAACTTCTTCCTAAATGCAGCTAATTTCCCATACCATTGTCTGTCTAGACCATTCTGGATTGTTCCAATGTGTACTGCCTATTCTGTAGTTATTCCTTTGTAGCTCATGGAAGACAAGGGCAGCACATGATCCAGCAAAATGAGTACCAATCTCTTATAGGGTGCTGGAGTGAGTCATAACTGATAATGAAGTCTCAAAGGGTTCATGTGCCTTTCTAAGACAGTGTGAGCAAGCTTTGGTGATTCACCAATGTCATGCAAAGAAACAATTAGCATTGCTTCACGTTGTTTATACAGCTGGTTCTTGGCCAATGGTTTATCACACTGCAACATTAATTGTGCTGAGTTTAGGTCTTCTCTTCCCATCACTAGGAGCCAAAATAACAACACCCATCATAATTTACACTTCTTGTTATTTTGGCAGTAGTCTGCACATGAGGAAAAGAAACATTAATCATTTATTCTGTAATTGTCTTTTTTTTTTTTTCTCTACTTGTTGAAGAACTGGAATAGATTTGGCCTTGCTGCAAAGACAGTCTGCCAGTAGTCTCACTGTAACATTTATTTCACAAACTGTATCTAAATTGGAGTTTTATCTTTTATCCAATAAACAGATATACCAGCACAGACAGATCCTTATCCCTGCATAAAAGGCAGTAAATTACCTACAGAAGGTGCATTTTGTGAATAGGCTGTATCAAAGACTATAGGTGAAAGAGGCAATCAGATTTTCCCCAGGCAGTAACTCTAGCCTCTTACAGCATAAACAGGATCAGATGATAATTTAGCATTACAATAATAATAAAAATTATCAAAAATAAGCATAAAAATAACTACCTTCCTGCTTGACTCTTGTTGGCAGTTCTTGGTATCCATATCTGTTCTGGGCCAGACAGGTGAAGTCTGTGTAAAAGTCCACTTCTTCAACAGAATCAAAAATCAGTGGTACTTCAATGAAGTTCTCACCATTTTCTACAATTTCTCTGGAAGAATAAGAAAGATTTAATGTTAAGTATTTTAATAAGATAGCTTTTCTTTATTTGATGTGCTCATTATAACAGCACATTGCAAGAAAACGCATTGGATATTGGTTTATTTCTGAACCAGCCCCTCAGCATTCAAGGATGCCCGCTGTCTTCAGCCCAGTTGTGCTAATTACTTGAGTCCCAGTGGGCACCTATCCTTCCTATCACCTATCCTGATGTTTTTGGAGTCTAGAGTGTGCTTGTGCAATTGTATGATAATATATAACAGCAATAATGATAGTAGTAGGCATAACAAAAATAAATTTTAAAGTCTAAGTAATAAAGTGTAGCTCTATTCTAAAGCCTGCAGAGACTATACCTGCAGTACATTTTTATGGTTCCTGGCCACAAGTTCAATGCATTTTCACTTATCTGTATAAACAAGATCAATTTCTCCAGTCATGCTGTGGGGAATGGGAAAACACCTAAAGGCCTGGGCATTCAGCTGAGTTCTTATGTTACCTCTGGCTGCAGCATGGCCAGGCTTTTATCTGGAACTGGTGGCCACAGAGTGACAAAACCATCTCACATCCATAAGAGTTAAACAGTCTTGTCCCTCAAAATACAGATGCTACACCCCCAAACTCTGTTGGAAATGGCCCCTAGTCCATGCTAAACCCTAATCAATAGCCAGAAGCCCTTTGGGAAGGTGCTAGCTGGTGTGTGACCAGTTTAGCAAGTAACAGCAGAGGCAATGGCATCCCAGAGCCAAGGAACCTTCTAGGGTCTGTCCATCAGTACAGGCAGAGCCACCGGGCAAGGGTAATGATCTGTTTTGGAACTCCAAGCTTCATGAAACAAAAAACTAAACAAGCTGATTTGGTACTCAGTGAAGAGACTTCAGTCAGAAAGTTTTGTTCACATTTACAAAAACAGTAGAGATATGCCCAGATGAAGTGAGTTACTCAGTAACTCATCACAGGTACAGAAAGCAGGTATCTTTCCCTTTCCTAGTGGGAAAAGCCTTGAGGTTTATAGCTATGAGGCAGCTGAGAGAAGGCTCCTCAAGGCTGGGACACACTAGGAATCAGGGCAAGAGGATCCTGTTTCTCTCTCCCACCAGCATTCCCTTCAGCACTACCCTAGCATCTGTTCTAGCACTCAGCAGGTGTCTGTGTGAGGCAGTTTAACTCACTAATGTAGGAAAGAACAAGCTTAGGGGGGAAAACAGTGTTATTTAGAAAACAAAACAAAAATCATCAAACCACTAGATAATTTTCTGTTGTCTCAGTGTATTCTGAGAACCTCATGAGTGTCAGGGAGAGAACACTGCCACTTGCTGGCATGGGGTAAGGAGAGTGGTAAGAGAAGCTCTGGGAAGGATCAAGTCTCCTTGCTTTCCACTGCAGTCAGCCCTTACAACAGCTCAGTTGCTCATGAAAATGTGCTTAAAGTTTCTCTCAAAGTTGGCTCATTTGCAAAATGCATGCACAAAAAACAGAGATAAAGCATTTATTTCATTGACTGGTTGGACTTGGGGGTTTATTTGCTTGCCTGCCCATTTTTTTCCTCAGCTCTCATCTTCACTTCAGATCTGTCCATTTCCTATTTCATTACCTGGCATTCAGCTGCACTGAGAGCCCCTGTAGCACTGCAGGTTAGAACAATAAGCACAAGGAAGCACTTTCAGGCAGACTTACTGTCGTTCCCCCTCTGTAACTCTGCTTTGTTTATAAACCACGTCAACGCTGCTGTCATTTGCCAGCCATTCTACATCAGTTTGGAAATGGCTGCTCAGCCCAACAAACACTTTGCACGGGAGAGTCATCTTGGAGCCTGTCAAAAAAAAAAAAAAAATTGAAAAACAATTTAGACACATATGAAGAACTACTCTTTCTTTTGTTGAAAACCAACAGCTCCAGTGGGAGATCCCACACACGTCAAGAACCACTACTTTCAAAACTGAAGTTAATATCCAGATTGCTTTTGATCCCCTACTCCTTGGCAGCAAGACCCTTCAGTGTGGCAGTCCTTCCCGCTGCTAACCAAATAATTTCCCTATTGCAACACTTACCAGCCCTTGCACTAAACACATTCCCGACAGAGGCAAGGCTATGTCCCCATGGCCTTGCCCCTTCGGACATCGTGCAGCCCAAAGGGCACTGTGTGATTTACCCTTCTGCAGCAGCTGCATTTAACCAGCAGCACAGCTTCACTCAGAGATGCTGTGAGTGAGGACATTCAGCTGAAGGTTGGACTTCCAGGGATAAAGTGATTTTGCAGAATTTCTGAGATTTTTAACCGCTATAATTACTGTAACTCAGGAATAAGGCGATTTCAGACTGATGTGTATCTATATTATATGGAAGTATATCTATAAACCCAGAAGACAGCACCTGGTTGTAGACGTTAAAAAGCAAAGAATACCCCAGAACCAATCCTCAACTAATATAATTGACATCAAGAACCTACAACAATTTATACCAACAAATTACACAATAAGAGGACCTGCTCTAGTTTTTCTTTGATTAACATGATTGGGCCTTACCAAGAGCAGCTGATGTTGTCTTTTGGGCTGGATACACAATTATCGGGATAATTCTCTTCTCTTGCTCTTGGCAGAAAAAGAGAACAGAGTCAGTACTAAGACAAGAGAAAATGTGGGCATGGCCTCAGAACCAGAAACACGCCACTTCACCCAACACCTGTCGTCTCCCAGAAAGGATTTGATTGCTAAAGTGGCCGAAAGCAGAGATACCGCCGCTGCATGCCGGGGCCCCGCGGCTGTGGGGACGGGCGGGACCCCGCTCCCCGCGGGCCTCAGGGGCGGCGGGAGCGACGCGCGGCACGGGCGGCCCCTGCTGGCCGCTCTGCGCAGCAGCGCCCCGGCCGCCGCCGTGCCCGCTCCGTGACACCCAGCCCCGCTCCGTGACACCCGGCCCCGCTCCGTGACACCCGGCCCCGCTCCGTGACACCCGGCCCCGCTCCGTGACACCCGGCCCCGCTCCGTGACACCCAGCCCCGCTCCGTGACACCCGGCCCCGCTCCGTGACACCCGGCCCCGCTCCGTGACTCGGCGGCCCGGCCCCGCTCCGTGACACCAGGCCCCGCTCCGTGACACCCGGCCCCGCTCCGTGACACCCAGCCCCGCTCCGTGACACCCAGCCCCGCTCCGTGACACCCGGCCCCGCTCCGTGACTCGGCGGCCCGGCCCCGCTCCGTGACACCCAGCCCCGCTCTGTGACACCAGGCCCCGCTCCGTGACACCCAGCCCCGCTCCGTGACACCCAGCCCCGCTCCGTGACACCAGGCCCCGCTCCGTGACACCAGGCCCCGCTCGGTGACACCCAGCCCCGCTCCGTGACACCCGGCCCCGCTCCGTGACACCAGGCCCCGCTCCGTGACACCAGGCCCCGCTCGGTGACACCCGGCCCCGCTCCGTGACACGGCGGCCCGGCCCCGCTCCGTGACACCAGGCCCCGCTCCGTGACACCCGGCCCCGCTCCGTGACTCGGCGGCCCGGCCCCGCTCCGTGACACCAGGCCCCGCTCCGTGACACCAGGCCCCGCTCGGTGACACGGCGGCCCGGCCCCGCCCCGGGCCGCCGCCGAAAGGCTCCGAGCTCCCCGAAGGCCTCGGCAGTGACACGCCGCCTCCTGCCCCAGGACATCAATTGTTCCGTTTAACAAGCGCAGGTACCTGCAGGAGGGAGCCCCGTGCTGCCAGGGGTGCTGCGGGAGCCCCTTCAGGGCCAGGACAAGCACTCCCTTGGCATGAAAGGCTGAGCATGAGCTCCTCTCAAGAATTTTATTAGCAAAGAAGAGGTTTTCTTACGTGCTGTGATGTTTTAATGTGTCCATAATTGAATCATGGAACCACAGAATTGTTTGGGTTGGAAGGAACCTTAAATGTTCCTAAAACCTTTCCGAAAAGGTTCCTAGGACTACTGGTTCCAACCCTCCTGCCATGGGCATGGACACTTTCCACTAGACCAGGTTGCTCAAATTCCCATCCAGCCTAGCCTTGAGCACTTCCAGGGAGGGAGGTGGGGGCATCCACAACTTATGTGGGCAACCTATGCCAGTGCCTCACTACCCTCAGAGTAGAAAACTTCCTCCTAATAGCTATTTTCAACCTGCCCTCTTTCGGTCTGAAGCCATTCACCCTTGTCCTCTCACTTCATGCTCTTTTAAGAAGCCACTCTCCTATTTCTCTTATAAGCCCTCGTCATGTACTGGTAGCCCACAATTCGGTCACACCAAAGCCTTCTATTTTCCAGGCTGAATAAACCAAATTCTCTCAGCCTTTCCTTGTAGGAGAGGTGTTCCATCCCTCTGATCATCTGATACTTATACTTACCAACAGTCTCCAGTTGAATTCTCCTGGTGATTTCATATGCTACACCTTCAAATGGAAATGACATCTTGCAGGTGTAATACCCCGCGTCTGTTGGTAGCACAGGTGTTATGATCAGAGACCCTGAACCTTTCAGAATGATGAATCTTTCATTCTCTTCCAAAGGCTGAGCATCCTGGAGAAAGGACAATAACTGGTGTTATGACTCAGTTAGCTACACACTGTGTAACTCTGAGACAAATTATCTTTTTCTCTCTGTTATTAGAAGTTCTCTTATCACTGGGAAATCTGAGCAGTTCTGCTTTCCCACCAAAGCATTAGTTCTTTTAATGTGTATCCATCTCTAAAATGCCATGTGGCACTACATGTGTGAAGTGTGAAGAATTGCTATTTTAAGCTATCTATAATGTGTGCGCATAGATCTTCCATAGTGCACATTTTAAGATGGAAAACATATAATAGGCTTTTCCTTGAGTCATCTTAAGAGCAGTCACAAAAGATTTTAGTACCTATGGAGGTTTTTATAATGTTATCCATACATATCCATGTGTATGTATCCATACTTCCCATACATGACCACAGAAGTGTAATATTCTAAGGCGTTCTTTGATGACAAATACTTGTAATCATGCAGGATTTCACATAACTGTTACTTACCCTGTAAACTATTAGAAATTCCTGCTCTGTATCCACAAGGCTCTGTTCATACATGGTCTGGAGACCTGCTAGGAGATGTTCCTCCCTCATGAAGGTGGGGTAGCTCTTTCTTACATTTGTAACAAGAACCATGTTGAGGGGGCAGCCTTTCACTTAGATAAAGTGGGTTAAGTTCCCACTAATGAAGGGATTCGTGAGCAGCAACATTTTGCTGGTATGGTACAGATCATAGCCTAAGTACTGCAAGCCAGCCTGTATCTTGCATCCTACGGTAAGGCTACGGCTGCACCAGGCAGAATGTGTGATCATAGTGGGAGTGTAAATAAAAGCTAAATCGAGTTATTACGGAAATGGAAGAAGAATCCCCTGCTCTCCAGTGTGAAATTGAACAGCCAAAGATGTTGCATTTGATCTTAGAGGCAAAACCAGGCTTGCCTACTTGAAAAGCAGCAAACTGGCCAGTTAGGCAAGAGAACACTCCAGGCATTATTTAATTCATCCAGTATTTCCAAATGGTGTATTCCAGTTGATTAATGAAAGCTACCCCACCTGAACATGGAGGCAGTATCCCTGGGAGGTTCTACTTTATGCGATTCACTAGAGGGGCCATGAAAAGAAGCACATTGTTAAAGAGAAGGGCCTGATATCAGGTGGCACACCCTGGAGTTGGGTAAGTAATCTAACATTATAAAGAGTTGCACTGCCTATGAGAGCATAAAATGTGGAAAACTTCATTCTGTGCTGAGTGTACCCCAGAGAACTTGTCTTAAAATGTATACATCTGCCCCAAAATCCCAGTATATTACACTATGCTAGTGACTTAAACAACATGGTGTTCAGGAGAAATGTGCACAGTTGGGATGAGGCTGTGCACAAAGAGGAAGTACATGTTCTACCTTGTACCACTTGAGCTCCAGGCTTGTCCTATTTGGTGTAAAATCCCACAGGTCAGGACAAACGATCTTTCCAGAGGTGAAAGTGAAGAGGACCTGGGGATAGGCAATCTCCCAAGCAGCTGTTTTCTTCACAACTGTGAGGTGAATGGAGACCTCGGCACAGTAGGAGGAGTTTCTGGTGACAGAGCAGGGAGAGGTGAGACCCCAAGAGTGATGAGAGGAACTCAAATAATGCCCTTGGTTTCCTCCTGGCTCCATTTCCCTCATTAACAGAGGCTAAGACTATGATCACACCAGGCAGGATGCTGGAAAATCACTGGTACCGTTCTTTTCACACAGTCGAAACATGTTGCTGACACATTTGCCTCAAGACCTTCAGTCTTCTCTTTTCTTTTTAGTACAACAAGTTTCCTATGTACCTTTAGGCTGCAGCACGATTTTAACTGTGTGAGGAAGGGGAACATGTTGACCTGAACAGTAGCAGATGTGTCATGAACCCTCCCCCATTCCCTTGGAAGAGGTTTTGACTGTGAAAACCCTAATGATTACATAAAAAGCTTAAAGCATGATTACAATACAGCTGCAGTTACTATTGCACAACCATAGACATTTTCTGCAAGTACATGTAATTTTCTGTAGCAAATAAGGCATTCTGCCTTTGAAAGGTTTGTAATATTCAACTTTTCTTTCTGGCCCCAAGTGGCAATCGTTTCCAGACCATGCTGGGAGAGACAGATGCTTAAATTCCACCCTTTACAACCTCTGGAACCGTGCTTCAGAGATGCCTTTACTCAGGGCAGTGCATGATCCTTGAAGGTGCCAGTGAAGCCAGGGAGGCTGGGCTGCCACCTCCAGGAGAGCAGCTGTGGGCTGCAAGCAGGCAGACTGACAATATTGCCAGGGCACTGTGGCCATCTGTCACGTACAGGCCAGATGCCCAAATCCAAAATATTTTTTCCACAGAACACAGAAGCAGAGATCTGTGATAATTTGCTGCTATCTTCATTTTACAGAGTTGATAAAAAGATCTGCTGCCTTCCCTGTGGGATAATTTGTAAAGGAAATGTAATTTGCTTGTGCTTTATTAATCATGTAATAATGTTAGCAATGAAGTTACCTGCTTGGCTCTTGCATGTCGTTTTCAAACAAATTTCACAGCATTTTACTAGACTCAGAAACACTGCCATAATGTTATATATTGTCAAAGTGAGGCAGAATAGTCCAAAAAGAGGATTTAAAAGCATTCTTGAATATCTCAGGCAACTATTCTACTCTAGAGCATTTGCAACCTTTTGTTGTTTGGGCTTCACTACCAGTATCTTCTCTTCTGCTCCCCAACTGAAATTGCTGCTGAGACTTGGGGAAAGGCCAACCTGAGCATGATTTCTCAGCTTGTCCATCTCTTCTACTGCTGACACACATCCCTCACAAGGTGTGCCATGCAAGCAAGGAGACCTTGCTGTCCACAAGCAGCTCCAGGGATGTAGAGATATGTTCTCCAGGATAAACCCTGGAGCTAATTGCCAGAGGTATACTGAGAGGCCGGCTGGCAGCAGGAGATGGCAGGGGACAGGGACCCGGAACATCTTCAGAAGTTCAGGCTCTAAGGGTGATGGGATTTTTTGCCTTCCTCAGTCCTTGATGAATCCAGACCCTGGCATCTCTTTTGACATGGTACAAGTGTATTGTCAGATTGAAAACACCGAGAAAAAAATTACCAATATGGCTGGAAAGAGCCATGGCTAACATGGCTCTGCAACACCAGAAGTCTGGTACTAGTCTAGCAAATACACACTGTGTCTCATGAAAAGTCTTCCAACAGTATCAAGTCAATCAAATTCTGGTTTAAAATGTGACTCAGAAGAAGAGTGAAGACCAGGGATATGGAAGAGAGAAGAGGAAAGGCACTGCAGAGCCACAACGCCTTATATGTGCTTCATAAGGCAATCTGAGGTGCAACGGCAAAGCCGCTGCCTGCACCGTGTCCCACTGATTGGCTGAGAGGTAACTAGAAAAAGCTCTGCATACACTATGCTCCTATATGATTGCAGCCAAAGTGGCAGTCCTGTGTCACCATTTATCCAGGTTTCAGTACTGGCAACTATAGGAGACACACAACACACTCTAAGGGTCCTGACTTCCCACATTTTTTCTCTCTAATAAGGTCAGCAAGGAAATTATCTTATCCAGAAATGCTCTGAATGTAGAGTTTAGAATCAAGGTAATGCATTTAGATATAGTCATTTTGTTAGTGAACTAGATTTTCTTTTAAATACCTACCTTCTTGTGCAGATATATACTCCTGAGTCTTCTAGCATCACTGGTAAAAACCAGAGTGCATTTCCTTTCGCCCAGATTCTTGAATCTTCATCTCTTCCTGATATCATGGTGTTTGAACCATTTTTATACCATGTGATATTAGAAGTCAAGGCAGAGAAATCCAAATGTTTGTATCTGGGGGAGGGGCATTTCAGAACCACAGGTTCTCCGTGCAGTTCATAGAAGTGTTTGAAAAACACGGTGTGATCTGAGCAGTTCTCTATACAAATCAAATATTTTTACGTTACTGTCAGAGAGGAACATTTAAAAGAATGGTGAGGGAAACAAAAGGAAAAAAGACAAATACACTTACCTGTGTTTTTGACTTGCTGAAGTCTGAAAGCAGAGGCACCTACTGTGCACGTCACCAGGACAAAGAAGAGCCCATGCATTTTTTTCAACAGGAAGTCAGAAGAAGAGGGTCGGAGGAAAGTGTTTTGAAATCTACAAGGAAGTTTATTACAAGACAGATTATATAATCAAAATACTCAACATTATCTAAAGAATTAACTGCTGTTTTTCTCACTCCACACCTGGGGAGCTTTGGTCCATCCTCAGTGAGCAGAAAGGTGTCTCCATCCCTAGCTTATGGGAGCTGAACTGTGGAACCAGAACGTCTGGCTTGGCATACACATATCACTTCTAGCCTTTCCCTTTCACTCCAGAAGATGAAAACAGCATACCACAAGATGCTGATGTCCCCACAGCTGTTCAGAACAATAGCTACAGGTGGAAACATTTACCTCTGCTTATTTTGCATTAAGATGTGACTGAGGCACAGGTCAGCTGCTTCAAGTGAGCTGTAGTGTAGTAGCTTGGCTGAACACAGGAACAAAGTAGGCCAGCTAGTCTGAATCAGGCTGCAGGAAAACTTCCTGCTACAAGCAGAGCAAGATTTCTTGTCTCCAACAAATGTTTCTGTTGAGACAAAAAACATTGACTCCCATGGCATGTATACCCATCTTGATGGTGGTACACAAGTTTTCAGCATGGACACTATTACCATCTGTTCTAAATAATAAAAAGATAAGGAAAACGCTGAACAACCTGTCCTGAAAATCAGACAGGGTGGCTGCTAAGGGAAAACAAAATTCTCCTCTGCCAGTCATTCATCAAGTGTCATCTGTATGGACCTGACATGAGCATGGCAGTGTCTGTGTACATCACTGGATGCTTCTAATCTGCCATGAGGCCTCAGCTCCTGCTAGTCAGTTGATTGATCATGCTTTACCTTGGTGTGTCATGGGCAAAAATATATAAAACATGCTGGATAAAGGAACTAGTTTATACTCCGTGTAAGGAATTTATGAACAATACAATACACATGTCCACATGATACATTTCCATTTTATATAGAAATGGAAATTGCATGCATTTAACATTACCTTAAAACTATGATGAATATTAAATGACTGTACAACTATTTCAAATCAAAACCAAAACTTAAATATTTCTACCATATAACAAAGCCATATTCATTTGGGCATATTTTTGTATCCTGTCATGCTCATACTTCCAGCATGGTTTTAATCCAAATTTCTTCCTGTTCTAGTAGCTATACTTACCTGACATCTGATAGTTTGACTACAATAAACTATTTCTAGATTATTGTCATCTGTACAACACCACAAAACCAACCTCTTGCTCAATAATACTCTTTCATAACCATAGGTCATCTCCGCTACTCTTAGGTCTGCACAGGTTTCCAGGGAATTGGTATGGAGCTCTGGCCTCTCTCAGCTACACCTGAACCAGCTGCTAGAGGCATTAACAAGCCCCACAGTTCACACTGATACCCTGTAGCAGGTGAGTTTCTCTCTCTTCAGAGCCTTTGCCTGACAAAAATTCTTGGTTATTCTGTTCAGAGCTTTCTGGTCCCTTTGGTTTAGTAACTAACAATCTCCATAAGCCATTTGAGGGTTTAGGGAAGGTTTTCATTCCCAAATTTCAATCAGATTCACTTACCTATGTTTCTGTAGTCTTTCATGCATAAGCATCTCACAAAAAGAAGCTGTCAGACTGAAAATTCCTGATGAGGACCTTATATAGGGTTGAGCTCAACACACAGCGGAAACTTGTTTCTCATTGCCCAATCAGATTTGTGTCAAAACCAAATAACGTTTTAGACCCAACTTTCTTTCCTTCCGTAGAGTGAGGATAAGTGAAACAGAGACAGACACAGAGAGAAAATATGTGTTTGGATTTCCCAAAAAAAGGGGAAGTGACTGCTAAATATATGACTAATCTTCCCCTTTTCTGACGAATGGTAGCTTGCATACATTCATGTCTTCACATGACTATTTCACACGCTACCTCAAGTAAAAATTTTCACGGGTAACAAAAGGTGCACTGCAGCATAGTCAGCAGCTAAATAATTGCAATCATCACATTTTGTGGCTTATCAAGCTCTTCATGGACAACATAAATCTGTGATTTCCCAGATCCTGGGTGAATCACAAATGTGCTGATTCCCCTTTCCTCTCATATCATCCATTTTAGCGTGACAGCCTGCATTAAGGCTCTCTTGCAATGGGGTATGAGGAAATAACAGCAAAGTATGGTTTCCAGGCTCATAAGGAGGAGTAAGAATAGGATTATGAATTGTGGCAATTTTGGCCTTTTAGAAGAGGGTAATCAAGTGAGGGACTGCAGTTCGCAGATAGACTAATATCCTCAGATACATCTAAGATGGATCAACACTTTTCATCAGATTCCTTCAGAAAAGTTCTACCCTGGCTGTCTTTTTATCCAGAAAATATCACATGCAGCAGTATGAGGACCTCAAGTATCAGTTGTTTATCTGGAGGTGCAAAAGTCTTGTTTAGAATAACTCAGGAAGAAAGGAAAGATACAACAAGAATTTAATTATTTTTTAGTAGATGTCTTCTGAGAAGGCCACGCTGTTTTGCGGTTAGCTATCACTGAGTATTTATAAACAGCAATGTGCAAGTCTAGCAGCTATATATATAGAGAGACTCTCTTAGGGAAGCTGGTGTCATTCTGTGGTTTCGCTCTGCTGATGACTCATTGATACAGCTCGAGATGCTGGAGCGTAGCTGTGAAATTCCTGACTTGAAGACCAGACTATTCCCCATATGTCTCACTCATTGCTCATCTCACTAGATAGATATTTCCCACACCAGAGCTACATGCAGTTCCTTGCCACAGTTGGGTGGATTTTGCTGTCCTTGCACATGCCGATAAAATAATAAAAATATCAAGAAATATCTGGTCTTTTGGAAGTTCCTTGCAACAGCGACTTTCAAAACAACTCCACAAGCAAGGTATGTCTGTCCATTATCCCTAGTCAATGGAAGTCAGGCATCATAGAACAGGGATTACACCATTTCTACAAGGGACAGTTAATGTGTCAGGTTCTTGAAGCAGCTCCCAGGTTTTGTTGCTTCTCCTGGAGGAACTTACCCTGTTATAGTGGCTCCGTGGCTGATAATGTTTGGCATCCAAGAACTGCAATCCCTTGGACTTCATTGTTTATTCTGTTATCCAGTTTGACTAAGCAAACTTCATGCAATTAAAAACTGAAGTCAATTTCTCTGGTTCACATAAGAATAAGGTGGCGAGGTATTAAGAAATCCTGAATGTTGGAAGCTGACTAGAAAGCAGATACAAAGTAAACCACAACTATTGCACCAACACATGTTCTTGGGCTTACCAATATGAGAAAACCTGGTTTAAATAATTTATAATACCCTTGTGCACAGTTCCAAGATGGGGTCTTGAGGAGCAGAGAAAAGGAAAGGAAAGAAATGAAACACTTCAACTCTGAGAATCACCAAATAACTGGGACAGAAAGAGAAAAACTAAACTGAGGGATTAGCACAATGCACAACAGACTCCAAGAATACAAGAATTTGCATGCTTAGCCAGAGGAATAAGTGCTGACATACCGCAGTTGTATATGACTAAGTGGGAGAAACAGAAGGCAATGTGTCAATTTGTTATGAGGGAGTGCTAGTTTGGCCAGAGCAGTCACGGCTGGGTTACAGATTGTCTCACCACTATAGGCTTCTGGGATTTCCAAAGACCCTTTCACTGCAATAGAAAGCAGGCACACTTGAAAAATAATTATACTTTCAAGAGCTGGAAGGGTCAGGGAGGAGGAGACCCTCAGTGTAGAAATCAACAGGGTATAAGGGTCAAAATAAGGTCTAGAGAGGCCCAGAGTATCTGTGCACAGGCACACGGCCATAGACTGGTGAAATAAAGAAATTATTTCTGCAAAAGTGGGGTTTTCTGGATTTTATTTAAAGTGGAAAACCATCCCTGGGCACAGCCTACTTGATATATGATACTTGATGCTATGTGGAACAGCAGTGTCTGTTCCAAAGCCGTTACTGCTGCAAAGCCGAGTTTGTTGAAAGCAGTAAAGTGATATTGCTCTCCCTATAAACTGATCTGAAGAGGATAATCTAAACTACTATATAGTGACAGTCTAAACATCCATATATGTCTCAATTGACAATAAAAGTAAAAAATATCTCTTACTGCTTTTCCTTCTCTTATGGATAAAATGGTGCATAGATATACTGAATTTTGATCAGGGATGTGGTTCGGATTAGGGATCAGACAAAAAAAGATCCTAGGGCTCCAGGGACACTAGGAATGGAAAAGGCGTGCCAAAAGGACCATAGCACAGCCTCAACATTACTGACCCTATATCTTTCTAATCTGGGCCATCTACAGAACCATTCACTTCAGAAAAAAACCTCTAAGATTGTCAAATTCAACCATTAACACAGCACCGCCATCACTAAACCACTTCCCCAAGTGCTATATCCACATGCATTTTAAACCCTTCCAGGGATGGTGATTTCACAACTTCCCTGGGCAGCGTATTCTAAAGCCTGTCCATCCTTTCAGTGAAGAGATTTTTCATAATATCTAATCTAAACCTTCCCTGCTACAACTTGAGGTAATTTTCTCTTGTGCTGTCACTTGTTACCTGGGAGAAGAGACCAACCCACTCTTGCTACTTTTGAGGTTCCTGCTTCTTTCCCAAGCTGCCAGCCATTCTCCATGCTCGGATGGAGCAAGCCTACAGCACACAGCACCTACCATGCCTTAGTGCAGGGCTCCAGACAAGGCTGCAGCACCCACAGTCGCTTCCCACACCAGGGCTGGGAGGAAGGGCTAGCTGGGAGCCAGCAATGCTGAGGAGAACAGCAAGCAGGCATTTCCCACAGCTTTGCTGTCTTCTCAGACCATAGGCAGTGGGTCAATAGGGGCACTAGGGACAAGCTAGGAGAAAGGCAAACCTAAGACTGCTGACTAGCGCTTTTTTTTTCCCCCACAAGTTCCAAAATTATGGTGTTTGCTTGCAATCAGGATCAGTCTTCTCTATATATGAAAAAATATAATGTGCTCTGAGGTTATTCATGTGAGAAGTGTTAAGGGATTTAAAAACACCGCAGTCATTACAAAAAGCCCACAGTAAGAGCAGACAGAGGAGGAACTGTGTCCAGCTGAGGATCATGAAATCATATAGAGTTACATGAGCTAGAACAACATGGACAAAAGAAAATTTCTAAACCAGTTATGGTGCTTGACTTAAGTGGCCAGCCCAGCAAACAGGGATTTCAGAGGCAAAGAGAAAAACAGATGACAAAGAATTTTGTTCATAATTGCCTTTTTGTTGCTGAACTTAAATTTAGTAGGTAAAAAAGTAACTTCATAGCTGTGAAAAACAGTGGCAAACATATGGTCTGTGATAAAGGAAAAATTGAGCTGGTACGGATCATACATTATTGTAGGTGTACTCGGAGGGTAATATTAAACATTACTTTTTTATTACATGTTCTTGAATCAAGTATTTGTCTCACCAAGATGAAATCATTTATGTAATACTGGCAGTAAGTCTTCCATTTGTCTTAGATTTACTGTCCGTCTGACACACAAGTATATTTCACACACTTCTTTTAAGAAGCAGTCATATGAAATACACATAGCAGATCCAATGACCCAAGGTATTTCTTCTCTACTTCACTACATTAATGTGTAATTAATTATCACAGGATTTGGAGGGGGCTGGGGTGGGAGACAACGCATGAAAGTGCATATGGTATAGAAACAGAGACAACAAATTTGCAGTCATACTTGGTATTCTCTCTTTGTCCTTGTCCTGTGTGTAGTGTCACAATGACCAGCAATTCTGACTGGCATCGAGAGTTGCTTAAGAAAAAATTGAGCAAGACTTACTCTGGATCTGTGAAATAATAGAAGAGGGATTTACAAATAAATGAATAGGAAATAATTAGATGCAACATATACTGCTTCTAAATGAAGAGGCAGGGGAAGAACCAGTGTATGCAAAAGCAGGAATTAGGAGAAATCAGATCAATTCAGAAGAAATAGAACCAATCCCAACAACACCATTGATCTAAAAAAGAAATACATAAGCAACCGAATGATGCTGCAAGACCATATATGTGCTTGCAATAACAAGCACGTAGGCCCAGTCTATCTTTTTATCTTTTATCTGTGCAGTTGGTGGACACATACCATGAAGCACTGAAGAATGTCAGATTTTATATCATTTTTCAGGTTAATGAACACATTTGTTTTAATAAAACCAGTTACCATCAGCCAATCTTGGAGTGTTCTGCTGCAACAGCTGACCACGTAACAAGAGTACAAATACACATGAGGTAACAAAACTGATCTTGGGAGGATTTCAGCCCTCAAATGCCCTTACTTATGCCCTTCTTCAGCACATAATGTTCTGTACCATGTTGAAAGGGAAGTCATCATTTCAGCAACTGTTTCTAAAGACTTTGGGAGTGTTTTACACAAAACAATATTGAAAATTATTTGTTTTAATAATTTCTATCAATCATATTTTGAAAATAAAAAGAAGATATTTTAACAATAGTAGTGCTTTGCTATGCAAATTTTCCTTAATTACAAGCTAGAAGAGTTTTCATTCAGACTTAGGTGATTGGAAGGCTTTACCATTTGTAGGAAAATCTGGGTAACTTTCACTAAAGTTTGCAAGAAACTGGTGGGCGGGTTTTCCTTCAAAACATTCCTAGATTGAGACCTTCCTTCTAAATAAAACTCAGATCCCTGCTGGTCTTTCTGGATGTCGCTTCCAAGACCTGTTCTCTCAGAGGCATTTATTTCACTGGAGACCTGTAGAGCTCTGCATTTACTTTAAGGCCAGTTCATAAGTGCTGAGCCATTCCCCTTGTCTCTGCAGAAAGCTGAAAGATCCCAGGACCCTTACAAGTTGCCATTTTGAATAATGCACAAGTTTTGTGAATCTACTTCCCAGGGAGAAATGTTTCAGCAGGGTATATGAATAATGGATATAGTTCTTGGCTTGATACCGTAGCTATGGGAACAAAAGACAAAAAAAAAAGAAAACTAAATTTAACCATTTAATATCATAATGATATGGAAGCAGTGTTTGGAACCTTAACCATTGCTGGCTGCCTTGAAG